GGGGTGTTTGTCATTAAAATTGAAAGCACCACAGAGGATGTTGCCATCAGGGTGTTTGAGGTTGAGATTGAAGGCACTGTCGGCAATGGCCCCATCAGGGTGTTTGACATTGAAATTGAAAACATGACCTCCACAATATGGTCATCTGTGGCATGATCTTGAATACGTCAAGTTAGCAGAGCACTTTATTGACTGTGGCAGAGCATTTGATTGACACTGACAGGGAATTGAGAATTCAAAATGTTGACTCCCGCGGGGCATTTGATTGACTCCGACGGGGCATTCAAAATTCAATATGTCAGCTCTGGCGAAGCATTTATTCAAGATAGAGGAGTCAATCCACTACAGCATTTTTAAGCTGGTGCCCAGATCATCCATCCATGTGAACTGAAACATGCAATGGCTTGGAATATGTGATTTGCAGAAACAAGAAATATATTGTCAAGAAATCAACACACAATATTGATGAAAGGTCCTGCTAGTAGCCATGACAAATCCTCATAATACAAAAGAAAGATCCACTGAATTGGAGGTCAGATAGTTGATGTGTGCACCATTTAGTTTTTAGAAGTAGAACAACTCTGGCAGCCCGCCTTACCAAATATGGGCCAGCTGCAACCTAATATGGAAGGAGCGCATTATTCACACACCATCTGAAACTACGCACTGCACCGCGCTCATTGGCGATGCAATGCACCAACAAAACAAAGACATTGGGGGGATCCCAGAAAGGAATAGAATCATTTGGAATAGTTTTCTCAGTGATTGAAGAAGTTTTTGTGAACAGACCTCGGAAAGAGCTATTTGGTGCATGAATCTTTATACAAACCAGTTGCACAACATGCCATTTTGCATACATCAAGTTATATTTTTTCTTCTTCCCTCACAACTGCTTCCCCCACCTATCTGAATTGATTCTAAAGTATGTAGGCTATATTTGGGGAAAGTATGGGAGCATTTCAACAAGATTTAGATAGTGAAAGGAAATAAGAAAGAATGTGGTTTCATGTTTAGAGTCATATTTTCACCCTTTCAAGCTCCAGCTCCCCCAAACCATCAGAAAACTGCTTCGGAGCAGGGGATATATATTCTGCCATATGTTAACTATGTATAAGAAAGGCTCAGATGTTGAGATTTGGTAGCAAAGTATACAGAAAAGTCAACAATATCATGTTGCAAGATATTTCATGCATTCAACCTCATTTCTCCACCATGTGCCAAAATTCTTTCCCAAAGTAAACTTGAACCTATTTTACAACAGTTGTAGTGGCTGGAAAGATGTATTGAGAAGCTATAACAGTACAGCTCATTTTTTTCCCCCACAACTCCGGCGGGGCATTTCATTGACTCCGTCGGGGCATGTAAAATTAAATATGTTGACTCCTGCAAAGCATTCAATACACTCCGATGGGGAATATAAAATTTGAATTGGGTGGGAGACAGTTGATTGACTTTCATGGGGTATTTAATTCACTCCATTGAGGCATTTAAAATTAAATATGTTAACTTCTGCAGGGCAGTTTATTCACTCCGACGGAGCATTTTATTGACCCCGTCGGCGAATTTAAAATCAAATATTTTGACCCCGCGGCGATTTAATTCACCCCGACGGAGCATTTTATTTACGCCGTCGGGGCTTTTAAAATTAAATATGTTAACTCCCGCGGGGCAGTTTATTTACTCCGACGGGGCATTTTATTGACCCCGTCGGCGAATTTAAAATAAAATATGTTGACCCCGCAGCCATTTAATTCACTCGGCATTTTATTCATGCTGTCAGGGCATATAAAATTAAATATGTTCTCTCACAGGGCACTCCGACAGGGCATTTTATTCACTCTGTCATGAAATTTAGAGTCAAATATGTTGACCCCCGCGGCGCATGTAGTTTACTCCTCCAGGGCATTTTATTTACTCTGACAGGGTATTTTAAATCAAATATGTTGACTCCCATGGGGCATTGGGTTCACTCCTCCAGGGCATTTGAAATTGAGTATGTCAACTCTGGCAATACATTTACAATTAAACATAATAACCCCTCAAGTCAATCAAATTCTTCATGGAGTCAAAATAGTCAAATTTAAATGCCCATGGTGGTTGACATACTCAGATGTAAATTCTCTGCCAGAGTGAATCAAATGCCCCATGGGAGTTGAAATAACCACCCCATTGGAGTCAATCAAATGCTTAACCAGAGTTGACATATTCAATTTCAATAGATGTCATTGATTAATATTATGGACACAGGTAATTTACCATTGGAGCAGGTTGGGGTATATACAGCATGCTTTGCTGACCAGCAGCTGTGTGGTAGAGCAAGTAGCTTAGGGTGGAGGTTTACAATTAGCTACTACTGATAGAAGCAAACAGTACAACATCAAAGCAGGTAACAGTATTACAGTTGTTCTAGTAAAGATTGGGGAACTATGGTGTGATGCCGACGGGACACCCAGAAGACTGCCGTAGGTAGCTGCCGCGGCAAGAGACGCCGTGCCCGCAAGCCATTTGTATGCATCCGGCTGGTCCGTTGGTAAAGGGATGTTTTGGAAAGTCCGGCCGGGACCGGCTGGCCCGTTCATTACGAGTCATTGTCATGTCCGGCTACTACGTTTGGTACGTGACATAGTGACTGATATATGTGCACTGTGACCAGAACACCGTATTCTATTACATTGCTATTGCATGGACAAATGATATTTTGATACTTGTGTCTTGGTTTGGGAGAGTATCTATTGGTTGTAAGCATGGTATAATCGTGATTATCCTCGACAGAGTTGGCCGTGCACGACATTTCCACCTTATCAGGACAGCACATGCCCAACACATGCCTCTTTTCTGTCGGTGGTGAGTCAAACATGCCTTTTCCGTGACTCTGTATTGACACTTGGCATCAAACTTGGCGCAGTACGGTCATTTAAAGGAGCTGTGAGATTATCCGCGCTCCATTCTATCCTCGCTCCCAGAATGTCAACTTGTGACTCTGCCAAAACAGCTTGGTCTCCGCCATCCCTTGGTGCTGCGTGCTTCATGTCCATCCCAGCCGAGGACGTTCCCCGCGCAAAATCTTTCTACAAAAAAGTCTTTGACTGGACTTTCAAACCCTCCCCAGATCCCACCTCATACCCCGACGCCAGTTTCGCCATGTTCTATACACCTTCGCCGATTCTCATGGGAGCAATCGTCAAATCAAGCGAAAACTCCGCTAACACGCCTGGTGTTGGGATCGACATCTATTTGCTGGTTGATGATATTGAGGGCACGTTTGAGAAGGCGAAAAGTGCCGGAGGCAGCGTGGCGATGGAAATGGTCGCAGACGGAAATCACACCTTGCGCGGGAAAGTTGCGGATACTGAGGGAAACGTGATTGGGATATTGAAGTGGTTAGCTTGTTAAACAAGATTGAATAAGATGAGGGCTTGTATGACGGCTGACATGTTTTTCTTTGTGTATACTCCGAGTATATATACTAACTCACAATGTTTCAACGTTCAACTTTATGACCTTACGAGCATTCTTGGACTGATATGGACGTCTTTTCTTGAACATCTTGACGGACACCGAAGAAAAAAAGACTTGTTTACGCGCCGCACCCCCGAAAATTGGAGAGAGCGCTTTCGTGCGTGCCTTCCTGAGAGCTTCTGGCGTCTGTTGGGCGTCTGCCTCACAAATACTAGGCTCGTGACCAGCCTGTATATGAGAACTTCGATATACAAGACGCTCACCGGTCTACACAAATACCTGTTTGGTCCAAGTCACCCGTAGAACCGAACACGTGATTGTACGATTGACTTACGTCCTCGACTCTCCACCACGTCACTGCAATAAAGTCTTACTCTGGTCCTACTGCAACTACTCGCACCACTCAATAAGCTTGGAATTACTCCAACCATTTGTGGTTATGGAGTTTTCCCTGAAAGGTCTTCAAACCTCTGTGAGACGGATGCGCCTTTGTTCATCGGAAGTACCGGAAGGAATCTGGAGCAATGAAGATGCATTAAGGTATGTAAACACTGCAAGGCGAACGTTGTTAGCTTACCATTCGGATAATATAGTTTTTTTTCCAACGATCTTTGAAGAAGGTTAATCCAATCCCGAGGCCTCCAGGCATTGCGCTTGGTCGGGGCAATTCGCCATAAATCCCGCCACTCGGCTGTCTTAATATAACACTTCTTCCGTGCTGCTTGAACTCTATCCAACAAGCATATGTTTCTCCTTCACTTTGCCAAGTGAGTAACGAACCATGGTGGTGCAACGATTATCGGCTTACAAGCTACCACAGCTGTAAAGAAGCCTTCGGCCCGCATTCCGCATTTCTGGCCGCAGTGTGATAAAGGATTTCATGAGGAACTCAGGTGTTGGCTTGCGTCTGCCGCACAGTTCTGGTCTGACTTCGTCGAATTCATGACGAGAATGCATAGGGCTGAATTAACAATGGAGCGACATCGCTCCAGACTTGTTTTTCGGCTTTTTGTGCAACCCCCTTTGAAGCTAGGTCCCGAAAGATTTCAAGGTGCCTCTCCATGGTTGGTTCGTGAAGAACCGACGCTTCCATCAGGATGACTCTGCGCGTTGCCAACGATCATCTGGCCACAGGACACGTTGAGTGCTTGGAGAAAATCTGGGGCGAGATGGATGTGAGTATCCCATACTAATCTAAAGATATTGGGCTTACGGTGACGAACAGAGGCTGTTAAAGACCGTCAAGTGACGAAGCGCAACGCTCACCCTGAGCAGCCTCCTAATGTCGCTGTAAGATTGTGCTTGAGGCTCGAGGACAGTTGGATGTAAGTATTGAGTACGCTCTGAAAACGTTGGATTCACATACTTGTCTCGTAGTCGAGAATCCAATCCTCACTCAGGTTGATTGCTCTGAGCGCGGGCATATGTCAGCCCGTTTGCAACGGGTCTTAAGCCTGGCGTTGGCAAGCATTGGTCGTTGGCGCAGATGAAAACTTCTTGTTGTTTCAATTGAAGACAAAGCTGAACTAGGGCAAAGGCCAATGCGTAAATGAGCGGTTTGCTTCGATTTTACCGGAGCATTGCCCGCTTGTGGCCTTCGCTGGATATCCCGATACTAGACGTGGATTTAAGAGACGAGTCGGACGTGAGCATGCTACACAATCTCAATGCTTTTGGGCTTACATACCTGTTAGTTAGCACTCGACCCTTGGCACTTCGGCATTCTTCTCCTGAATCTTGCTTATGTGAAGGACATTGTGCTATCATTTACACGGAGGACAACGCACTAGCCCACCGTAAACGCGGTCACGTTTTCAACCACACTTGTGCAAACTTGGGCACCAATTTAAGATCTACCGCAACCCGTTTGCTTTGCTCTCCCCCGTCTTGTCATCTCCCCGCCCTCTTCGTCAGCCCTTACACACAACTCTTATACTATAGTTCAGTACCACCAACAATCATGATCATGCCCAATACCTTATCCCACTACGACTTCTCCACAACCTACCCCTGGCAGCAAACACTTGCTGCACTACCTGTAGCTCCAAGAACCCAGTAAGTCCATCTTTCTGAATTATCCTTCACTTGCCCTCTAAATTCTCATAACCTCTTCTCAGATACTCGATTCCACCAGCTTACATCCCTCAATTTCCCAATCCTCAACCCATTCTCTTGTGCGTCTCTTCTCCCTTCCTCACTCCCAATCACCATTCCTTACCATGGTTACGCGTAGCCCCGGTGAATATAGTCTTCCCACACAACCTTCCGGGGCATACCACTCAGCAGGCACCATGATGCCACTTGACAGCCAACTTGAAGGAACCGAATACCTTCAGAACGCGTCTCCCGGCTTCAGCACAGTTTCTCCTGTCCTCACATCATCTTCCGGCCCCTCCTCGCCGTATCCCAACACTCCTCCCACCCACGAAAACAACGCCATCTATCCGAGTGAGCCACTCGGTTACGAGGATCGGTTCAACCAGGTAGAAGAGGCTTGTGCCTCGATCCCAGCATCTACACAGCAGCTCCCTATCGAGCCCCAGCAGCAGCTCCCGCAAAATCAGTACTACTACCCTCCCCCTGCCTTCCCTCAGAATGTCACTCCACCCTTCTCTCAAGACTTCGTAGACTATTCCGCTCAAGCTGGTCAGAACATTGGTAATAGCCAATTTTCTCAACATAACATCCAACCAGAGATGGTTTATCTCTACCCATCCAACCCTTTGCCCGCCCTGTGTTGCATCGACGCTCTGCCCAACGAAAACTGGAACGCGCTTCCTCAGAGGTATGCCTCCTTTCCTTGCTTAGATTGTTAACTCGTCGTTACTCAATGCGAATTACCCATTGCAGCACCACGCCAGAAGCTTCGACTTCAACAATGCCACCTCCCTTCGCGCCATTCACCATGCCCACTGCGGAGTCTTTCCAAATAGGCCCCTCTTCCTTCTCCCACCAACCCACCGTTTATTCCGTGTCAAGCAATCATACTCATGCCCAGATGGGCAAGGCCGAGGCTTCCGCCTCCATGATACGCTGCCGATGGGGCAACCCCACTGTGCAATGTACGGCGTTGGTTGAAGCCACAGGTCCAGCCGTCAGGGAACACCTCCGTCAGTTTCACGAAGACGTTCAAAATCATCGTCGTGAGGGCGAAGCCACCAAAATGAAATGTATTTGGGCGGGGTGTCCAAGTAGGCGTCTTCTAAACGAAGACAGCGTCGGAAGGCATATCTGCCACACCGATGGCCACATACTTTCGGATGACCTTGACGGGCAAGTCCGGGCGGTGGGTGTAAAGTTTCATTGTGAAAAATGTGACGGCTTCTACTCCCGCAATGATGCCCTGCAGCGCCATAAGAAGATCTGCAAGGGCTCAAAGACGAAGACCGCAAGAGGCTAGTGGTTCTTATGGTCAGAATCTGCACCCCGAATCCAACCCATCTCTATGTCTATCTCTGAAATACAGTCCTACCCCACCTTCGGCTGGAGCTCGCACCTCGCTTACCACTCAGCCCACAAGACTCCATGCCTTACTCGCGGTATCTCAAGCTCGAGTACGACGTTCAAGTCTTACCATCCGTCCATCATTGGACCCCCCTAGGTTTTAACCGTATACCCACTTTCTCGCGCTCGTCCAACGCACCTCTCATGACCGTCTGCGTTCACTCTGCCCCTCATACCCATTGCTGTTGTTTTCCACTAAACCGACGCCTCCCTGTCTCTCATGGACTGTTCTCGAACCTCCGCTTCCAATGCTTTCACTGCTTTCTCTACCCTTTCCTTCCTCGGTTGACCCTTCCCCCATCCATCCTTCAATGTTCCCTTTTCCTTCTCAATTTCACCATTCTTTCCTCCTTGTTTTGCTATATCTACCAATGCACCACCGCTACTCACTACCCCTTCTTCCATCATCCCCTCAACGTTTTCACGCTATCCCTTCTCGACTTCAGCTCCTTTTTTCCTACTTGTGCATTTTGCGGGCTATCACATGTTACCACTTATCTTTCTTTTCATAATCGCTACCTATTCTCCCTTCTTGCTTCTCCTTGCTTTCCTTGATACTTTCCACTTGCACCCCTTTCCATTTTCTGACTCGCTAGCTCCTGTTGTTGTTGAACTTGTTCTCTCGCTATCGTGACAGTGTTCTCCTGCTCTCATGTATATACTGCTTTGCATCTTGTACTTCTTATCCTACAATCATATAATCGGCCTGGTATCCCAATCCTGGCTTGAACAACATAAATTTGCTTCAATTTCGAGTTGAAGTCGATACAGGGAGAACAAAGGTATCAATTCGCAGTGGTATTTCGAGAAGTAATTAACGTGGCGACAGCGGGAAGGCGATAGCAAAGTCCATGGAAGAGGAAGAAAGCAAGAAAGACCTGGACAATAAGAAAACACAAAGGCGAAGTGGTCAAGCAGGCAACGCAATACAAATACAGAACCATGGAAAGGAACGGACCAGCGGCAGTGAGCCCAGAGCACTGAGGAACCAGAAACACGTCATCTAAACCTTCGTATGAGGGACAGCATAATAACCACTCGCGTACACAGGCACCGCCTTCACTTCGCCAACGTCCGCAGATGGGCCATCGGCCTCACCGCCAACAACTTGAACTGCACGAGCAGGTGTCTTGCCCTTGCCCTCATATTGCCCTCATAATCCTCGTCAGGGATAAGGAAGTCGTCAGGAAGATCGCGGCGAAGGTCTTGAGAAATGTCGTTGTCGGGGTATTGCATCATATATCCCAAGATCTGAAGGGTGAGTTGAGTAAGGAAGAAGAATGTAAAAGAGGGGACGAAGACGGACCTGTGGGCCAGGGATACGGATGACTAATCCATCGCTCGCTGCCGAGGTGGAGATGTCCTTCTCGGAACGTTTGGAGTGGGAGGAGCGGCTGGTAGACCAGCAGAAGATCCCGCTAGATGATTCGGCAGAGTTGGCGAATTCTCCAGCGTGCTTCTTGACTTGTTCCTCGCTCATGGCTACCATGATGGTGATGTCCTACAGGCATAAACACATGAGGAAGGAGCAATGTGTATAGAGTGCTCAAGACGAACCTTGCAAATGATAAATCCGACAGGGTACGCAGGGAACAAGCCCTTATTCAACTCCTCCCATTCCGCAGGTTTTGCGTTCCTAAGGCCGTCCATGCGCTCAACACCGTCGGGCCACTTCGAGTTGAAAATCTTCTTGTCAATGTGGTAGAACTCACTGGATTGCTTGAAGAACTGCGGCTGGAACCATCCACCACGATCGACAGTGACCATCGTTGCCCGGAATCCAATTTCGACCTTGAATGACTCGCTATTGGCCTCCTCGTCCTCCGCTGAGGATGAGGAGCTTTGTTTCCTTGAGCCCCAAAAGAAGCTGACGTTTGATCCAGAAACTGGGGAGCTGAATGAGCTGGCGGAATTTTGGTGGATATTCGACATCTCATGATATAAAAGGATCTCTTGCCACCTGCTTCCTCCAGCTATCCCACTAGCAGGTGGTGGGAACAACGGTGTTTCTTCGAGCTTTGGTGGCGAATCAGCCGGGTCTTGAGCGGGGCTACCTCGCAAAGCCTGAACACGAGTGGTGAGCTCCGTAATCTCCTTTCGAACGGCGTCCATCTGCAGCGTGATCGCAGTAATCTCCAGTGCAGTATCCGTCGCCTCAGCGAGAGTCGCCGCTGACAAAGCTTGGGAATACGTGCGAGAGGCACTGTTGACAACCTCAGGCTCGAGCAGCAGTAGTTGTGATAGTTGTGTTCATGGCCGCTTCGATGCCCGTAAATGCACTCTGAACAATGTTGAATTTGGTGGCTTGTGTAACGAAGGCATCGTACTGAAACGCATTAGCCGCGGGTACGAAGCTTTGTGCGACGAGACTTGACGTTGATTTGCTGAAAGATGATTTCTGGATCCGACGTAAGATCCTCCATGGTAAACGACGTCGAGAGACTTTGGAACCAGTCAATAGGGGACATCTGGACAGGATGTATGTTCAGGGCACCATCCAAAGAGCTGGTGGCTGTCTCGCGGAACGCGTTCTTCGCGTCTTGCAACATCTCAGCTGGGCTCTTGATGTCCATATAACCAAGATACGGGCAGATTCTATGCGAGTAACCACGACCGACAACATCAGCGTGTTTGGCAGCAAGCTGTGCCTCTCCAATCGACGTGATGTGCGCCAGCTTGCGTGTAAAGTCCTCCATATCCTCATTCTTGGCTCGCGCGTTCTTGATCATGGCATCGCGCTTCAACCCCCACTCCTGCTTCGCAGCCAAGTACTCTTCCATCAGCGCCTCTGCGAGCTCCATGCGATTGACTTTCCCTTCGTCCGTAAGCCTGTTAGCGACTGCAAATTTCGGTACGTTTTCACCACTGGGTGCAACCGAGCTGCCAACAGCAGCAGCCAACGACGCGGACCTCTTGTGTTGCGACTCGATAAGATCCGTTACCCAGCCCGCAGCGGGGACGTCCTTCATAAGCCAACGACGAATCTGGTCCTGCTGCTTCGCCATAATCCGAGAGTCGTTCTCGTGGCCGGGCACCAAGTTGTTCAGAACCTGCTCATAGCAAATGGACAAGTTGTGTCCGTTGGGCGCACCAACAACCTCGCCCACGTTGTACAACTGATCAACGAGACGGAATTCGCTTTCATTGACAACGACAGGTTTGACAAACTGTCCATATATGCCGGCAGCCGAGGTGTCCCAACCATATAGGTCTTGCTGGAGGAAGCGGCCAGGAAATTGAAAAGTGAAGATCTGGCCGGTCATCGGCGCGAATACCTGCTTGAGGCTGTTACAATGATTTCCAAAAAAGTTTCCCTTTCGACGCCACTGGAAGCCTTTAACGATGCTCTGGGTGCGGTTGTTGCTGCCAATCCGACCGACGGGGAGGGGAAAAGAGACTTGTTGGCTGCTTTCACGTGATTAACGAAGTCGTCTAGGCTCGATGAGGAAGACCCTTTGCTGGGTTGCAAGGAATGAATGCTATTAGAGAAACGAGCTTTCCTGGTAAAGTTGCTGAAAAGGTATCTGACTTCGGACCACTTCGACAGCGCATACTGCACCAGGATTGCAGCTTTGCGCCAGCGACGTCTAGTGCGTGCTCCACGGTCCAGATGTTGTCGGCAGGTGGGTGAGAGGTTGGATATGGATAGTTAATCGTCATAAACGCCTTGTCGATGTCAGATAGGACGTTGTTCGGTTTGACATCGATGTTTTGTTCGTTCATAGCAGCGGGCATGAAGTACCTGCAAAAAAGACATCAGTACAAGGACTTTCCCAAGAAAACTGGACGTACATCATAATGGACTTGAGATCGAGTGTGGAGAAGTTGCTGACATCACGAGCGTTGTACACGTCCAAAATTGTTCGCAGACCTGTTGCTCGGTCCAACCTTGAGTCCTCGTGTAAAATTCGATGACGGCTGAAGAGGTGTCGGTGGGTACGATAATCTGTGAGATCGAACACGGATATGTACCAGACTCCTTCAACGTGACCGTGCCACCGCGTACAGGAGACTGGTGCTCGTGCATGAGGGCAAGTGTATGGCCGAATTCGTGCAAAATGACGCCTTTCTCCGATTCGGTCGTCGTGTCAGATGTACCAATCCAACCCAAATTCATGGTGGCCTCGTTGGCGCTGATGAGGCTGACTTCGTTCCCGACGTAGGACCAAGAGCCCGAGCGAGGATCGAAACTGATGCGAATGGCGGCGTTGCCGTTGGCAACAAAGGTGAGGTTGATATTGACATACTTTACCCTCACGGTCAACCTTCAAGAATTCAAGCACATATGACGACGTACGCTTCCGTTGTCCCACATACGAGTGGCCTTTGTAAGGACAGCTCGCATCACACCACCTCCGCCAAGGCGTCCGACTGGTGGATAAGGAGGCGGCCTTGATGAGGCATGCTTCGGCGCAGGCGCAATGAAACCAGGTGACCGCTGAGGTTTCGTCACCTTCAGCGACAGCAGATTCGGTGGAAGCGGTATCGAAGGAGACTAGGCTGGCTGGTGGAGCAGCAGCGGAGTTGAGGGCAACTGGGACAGCGACCGCCGCAGTGGTAGATTCTAGCGGAGGAACGACCGCTGTAGGCTGAGTGGCAGAAGACATAAGAAGAGGTGGAGATTACTGAGGGTAGAGGTGGGGTAAGGGCGGGGAAATCGTAAACAACTGACGCAAAGAGTTGAAGACACATCTCGACGTGACGTCATGACGTCAGATGAAAGAAATCTTGACCGAACATCAGGTGTTCTAGCGAAAATCGGACATGCTTTGGTTCCCTGTTCTGCGGAGTGAGGACACAGTTTTCCGACTTTCGAACATTGAAACGGGAGCCCAAAAGATCTGTGCGGTGAGGCACCAGTGATGGACGTGAAAGAAGGCGTAAAGGCCCTTGGAGGACATTTGTCGTCGCCCTATCACAATAGCCCCACGGTCTAGAGTCTCGGATATCTCTAATCACAGCATACGCCGTTCTCTTCTCCCTTGAATGAGACTCTCCCGAGGCTGCAACGATCACCGGTGCTCTTGCGAGCGAGCAGAAAGGGTACTGGTCTTGGAAGACGTTGGGTTTATTATCGAGAACCACGCGAGATCGCCGCCAACTTTTGCCGATGACGGCGATAATACGTTTGAGAAGTCGGTCGAATTGTCAGACCAGAAGGCCCACAAAAGGGATACGAAGGTGCATTGAATTTAGGACGCACCAGTTGCCCAGCGGATGAAGGGACGTGGCGAGGTTGTAGCAAACATGTACAAGCAGAGCAACGCCGAATAATTTCAAATTCTCAAGCAGCATGCAAGCAACATGCAAGTAGAAGAAATAAAAAAATCGACTTATAATAATTTTAAACGCTTGTAAGACACTTTTTGGGGTCGAAGCAATTTGCGGCCGATTTAGATCCCAATTTTTCTCAAAGCGGCTTTAGAGGCAATTGAACACTGTGTCTGCGCTCAGAAAATCGTAAAGCTTGCAGGATACTACAATGCTGAGCTGAGTTTTGATACGCAATAAATATGGCTTCCTCAAAGCCAACAATTTTGGCAAATTCTGATCTTGCCACATTTCGACGGTATGTCACTCCAGCATCTTGAAAACTGCTTGCAATTCTTAGAGCCCAAACGAGCCACATCGCGATCAACGGAAGGAGCAAATATGATATTCAAGTATAATGCAATAGACAGCGGATAAATGTTTTACAAATACAAAATGATATGCTACTGATACAAATGGAGGCTCGTGCTAGAGCCACTGTGGGGATGCCAGAGAACAATAATATGCCGCACACTGACAAAAGCAGCGCACAAACCGAATCTTATGCGCTACTTGATCTTGCCTCTCCCCCTGCCCGCGCTTCCGACCTTCCAAAGCAAACTTTGCGATGCTTCTTGATCGACCGCGACCCCTTTTCCTCGTTGCACCTTTCACAGCGCACCTTTTTTACTTGGAGACCAGTGTGCTTTTGCGTTTCCCTCACATGACGGTTGAACCCAGACTGCGTCATTGGAAACTTGCTTTGGGAACAGCATCCTTTCCACCGACACTCTTTGATTTTGCCGTTTTCCAGTACGCCGTGGTCCAGGAAGTGGGTGATGGTTTGGTCGTAGGTCATCGGCTTCAATTGCGTGCCACAGCCGTCCCACTGGCAGTGAAACCATTCGTTATCGTCGTTCGCGCCTTCTAACGTGGGTTCCATGGGTTGAGTGAGCGTGTATGTGGCGGTAGAGGAGTACCCGAGGTTGTTGACAAGGCGCGAACTGAAAAGGTAAAGCATCAATTCATCGTTCTGTATGACGGCAGACCGATCAACAACTTACGACGATGCTATTGGCCTCGATACGGAATTTGCATTCTTCACTACACATTCGCGGACTCGTGGGTAGGGGTGATGTCTTTGTGACACCAAAGTGCGTGGTTGTCGCACGTTTTGGATTTGCTGATGCCACTCGTGTTGCTCCATAATTGGAGCGGCCGCTGCGTAGTTGGTGAGGGACGAGTTAGCCCCATATACGAGTGGCATATGGCCCCAATGTTGTTGCGTATTGGGCTCAACGGGGGCCTGAGCCATATAGGGACGGCCATGGGACGGAGGGTGAGCATCCTGATGGATCGTCCAGGCAGCATGTAGTACAGCGTGGCGTGGCACAACGTTCACCTGAACCACAGCAGGGTGGGCCGGAGATGAGAAGTCGTCGGTCGGAAAATGGGGAAGGCATGTCGTCGAGGCAGGTCCAGGAGCAAAATATGCCGGTAAGTTGTGATTTACGTCAAATTCAAAGTCATCTTCTTGCGAGTGAGGGTGGGGATAGGTCGTCGATCTAATTGCGAGGATGTTGATTCAAAGACCGCAGTGAATAAGGGGTTGACGCACAAGGTCTGGCTACATTGAGGCGAAACATTTTCCAGATCCTGCTGTTCGCCCGTGCTCTCGTCAAGCCTGAACGTCATCGTAAGTGAAAGAATTCGGAAATCAACATGCCACTCACTGCTCATCAAACAGCTTGAGAAGCCAGGCGTTCTTCTCGATGGCAATGGTATCCCTATAGCTGTCGTTGTTGACGTAGCCTGCTGAGGAAGAAGTATCCAGAGGAGCAGCCGCATCAAGACAGGAGCTCAAGTTGCCCTCGGCCCTAGGAGACATTAATATGGACGTGGCAAGACGCGAAGACGGTCGCACTAACCATACATTATACAAAAGAGCAGCAGCCATCTCAGGAGTCACTTCTCCCAAGCTCTCACTTTCAGACCAGCCCTCCGAAGGACTCCCATCTGTCAACAGCGGCGTGACTTGAAGATCTGGGGAGTCTTCAGGATATGTGTCGTAATTAGGCAGGGGGTAGCTGAAGGACGAATAAAAAGTCAGCTTGAAACGCGATGCGATAAGATGTGACATAGACTAACCCTTCGGCCTCGGGCTGGCTATAGCTAAAGAACGAAGGAAAAGGAAAAGTGAGTATGGGACGCGACGCGACGGCCTGTGGCATTTACTCACTCTTCACCACCTCCACGTAACGGTGGGAACACTCCTTGCGCCACCCAGAAATCGTCGGGCATTTGATGATTGCTGAAAAAAGTAAATATCGACGCGAAAGGATGAAGAGGAGGCAGCTTGCCTAGGAAAATAACTGGAAGAGTACACGTTGCTCGCAACTTCTCGTGGATAATGCATGGTGGTAGCGTATGATAGAAGGCTGAACTGGGAAAAACCAGTAGAACAAGAAGAATCGAAGAGGATAGGCAACGAGGGAGCTCGAGGAAGGAAGGAGGGAAGTAGGGGAGGTTGATAATTCGCTGAAATAGGAATTCTATATAACGTCGCGTTAGGTCAACGCAACTACAAACATGTAACACTCGCGTGACTTACAAAGGTCAAGGCGGGCGGCTGGTTGTGATCTGTCATGGAGACAATGAGCCTTGATATTTCCGGTGGCCTAAAAGTTTCTGAGGCTTCGGACAAGGCGGGGGGCGTTTCTTCAGAGGCAAGGCAATGCACAAGCGGATTATGCAATCGCAGTGTACCTCCTCGTCATATCTTCTTTGCTACAATATTACCAGCACTATTAGTTTAGTTCGGCAAGGAGTGGTGCTGGACGCACTCGAATCAAAACCTGAGCACTCACCACCAACGAGATCTCGGGCTCCTTTTTGCCTCTACTCTTCTAAAAATGCAATTTCCCCGCTGTGCACGTAATTACGTCGCTTGTTCTCGCAATATCTCCTGTGCTGAATCCTCACTAGCATCAAAATTGACGTGAGTGGCGTGCGATACCTTAGGCCGCAAATCCGGCGGAGCCCGGTACCTAGCCTCCAGGTAAGTATACGGCCAAGTGACTACTCCAATTTTTACGAACCTCGCGGTGTGGACACGGGCGGAATAAATATCGTGTACGTTGGGTGGCCTTTCCAAATTTCGTTTGAACTAGTGATTTGAGAGATAAATATTTGCAGAAAAGCCTCACCTGGAGAAAAGGGTGAATTATCAGAATATTGCATCAGCTCATTTGGTAGCTCCAAATAAACCCGTTTGAGCCCAGACGGACAGTTAGTCTTCTGCACTAAGATTCAACCAGCATTAGAGCTCAAAATTTTGAAATGAGGGCATGCGGTACACAACTTGCGTTTCCCACTAGCCGGACAAATTTATTTGAGCAGAGAAAATGGGGGAAGCTTTTGTTTCTATGGCTTCTTAGGAGTAGGGCATAAACGTGGGTAGTCAAAGACGCATGCGCATCCTTCCGATTCATATTCAGGTCTATCTGGGAATCCTTGAAAGAACCTCAGCAAAAGACGTCAAAGGGTAGCCAAGATAGTGAGACGAACACGTAGAGGAAAAATTGTCTATCCGTCCGCCCAATAGGACTGGTAGAAAAGATGGACTTCTTCGAATGTCGCGTTTGTGGCTCATTTGAGGTCCATTCTGCGTGCAGTAAAATTACCCTTCCCATGAAAAGTCCTGTCGTATGTGACTAGATAACCGGGAAGCGTGTCAACACGTTGAAAGAATTCCATTGCGTTCAGCGGTGTTGATCACAAAGCTACGTCCTCTGATCGAAGTCGACGTCGTGGTGAGAGGTAAGCTCTTGTAAGTATTGTTTGTGACGCAAACCGAAATTGTGTAGAGTCTGAATACAAATATAGAGAATTTAGTCTTGGGATGGTGAAAAAACTGGAAGCAATGCGGAGGCAAGAGGTAAGATGGTGATGTGGCGCGATCTGCGGAATGAGTGTATTTCGCTCGGAGGCTGGTGCCAAACATCACATCCCAACATCCCGACGGTCACAGATTGTCACACCACAGATCTTGCACATCACAACATTGATGATGATGTCCTGATTATTCGGAGATAACCTATCGACCACGTTACATGGTTTTTTTTTGCAGAGTCTGTGGCCTCAGATTTAGACCGACAGCAACGTCTAAGTAATCTCTCGAGCTTTCAGCCTGATGTTTGAGGCTCCTTTTACAGCGCTTTCAGAGTAGGATGGGAAAGTGTGATTTTTTGTAAGCATGTGTGACGTACGTAGTTTCCCTTTTAGGAATTGGGGGCGAACCATGTTTTTCGCCTTCCTCAGCCTTCCCTAGCCCACTCCTTCATATAAGAGCTTATATTTTGAAACCCCATAGCGTTGGGGGATGAGGCCTGAGGGATTGAGCAGAAGGGCAAGGCGACGCGTAGGCAGTGCGAGGCAAACAATTCCTCAAAGGGAAACTACGCATGTCACACACGCTTACAAAAAATCACACTTTCCCATCCTACTCTGAAAGCGCTGTAATCCGATCTATCAGGCATGCATCTCTCCCCATCAAGTTCAGTGTTCGAGTCACTGGCGCTACGTTCGCGACCTTGAGAAACTTAGAGGGTTACAGAGGATTTTGTTGCTTCGAGGGTTAAAGTAAGCTCAGCCACCCCTCATCCTATCAGCTATATGTCTAACAACGGTTTCTAGATTGCTCGTTGTCCTTAAAGACGCTTTACGCTTTCAGAGTATCTGAGCAAACGGTTAAAAGTCAGACAAAACCCAACGTCAAAACTTACCCCCACCATACACGCGGCCGGTAGAGAAATCCTGGATTATAGATGGCCAGTATCTGCGACTGCTTTTGGCGAGCAAAAGGCGATCGGGGGCTCAGAACATTGGTACTGGCCCCACCCAGAGCCCTCGATGCTAGCCATAATGAAGTAGGGCCTATATTTGCACTGTGTGGGGTATCACTCACCCATCGCCGAAAGCAAGGTTACCTCTTCACTCCCACTCTTGTGCTCATCTCTCATTAAGGTGACTGGGATACAGGTCAGCACTTCGAGTCTGCTAGTCAATATTGGTCCATAAACCATGCGCCCAACGTTTACTACAGCTCACCTACCTCACCCTCATCGTCATCCCCATAGAAGGCAAGTTCCTCCAAGGCCACCCTTCGCTCTGAGCCTGCCAGTGGAGGGCGACCTGAGTTCCAACTTCCATGACCGAGGATTTTATACAATTCTGCCCCCTATTGTTCTTACCTAGTAATAAACCGATAAGCCGATGTTCACCGAAGAATTACCGTAAGGTGGCTGGTTATTGTTGTTCAAGTCATGCGATGCCAATATGACCTTTCATGATAGGATTGCAAATAATATGGGCCATCATGCGTTCACGGAAAAGCTCCTTGCGTAGTTCGCGTAGATTATTTTATCAATATTTTATCCATTTTAAAGGAGCTCAAGGATAGATGTACTAATGCAATAAATGGTATCGAATAAATACAAATGACGATGAATGAAGAGCGTAAAGTTCTACGAATACAGATGCTACTAGTAATACAGAATGATGTGCATGCGACCTACCAATACAAACAGAAAACACGAGGCTCGTACATAGAGCCATGGAGATGCTTGAGACAATAAAGCCACAACTTCTAGCCACGCGAAAGGAAAACCGCCTCATAAGGCGGATCTCTAGTAGTGTTGCATCAATCCCACCTCTTCTTCCCGCTCTTTCGACTCTCCCGAGCAAACTTTACTGTGGTTAGCCTGAGACCTCTTCGCCTTCTCCTCGCCGCATTTCTCGCAGTTGACCTTCGAGAGCCTTCCGATCCCAGCGTGCGATCCAGTTTCGTAAACGTGACGCCTAAAGCCCTCGCGTGTCATCGGGAAGGCGCCAGGTTTAGAATTGCAGCCTTTCCAAAGGCATTCTTTGATTCGGTGACCTTTGACTTTTTCCCCATGATCTCGAAAATGTTCTCGGATCTTTGTGAGGGTCATGGGACCTGCTGAGCAGTCCCCCCATTGGCAATAATTGTCGGCCTTGCCTGACATCTCGGTACGCTTTGAAACCGACGGAGTTCCGTAAGGTTGATGCCGTCTGTCACGGCGTGCGGCTTGAGCGCTCATAGTGGCAGATGAATTACGGGGTTGCCGCTTATAAACTGGGAAGGCGCGTGTAATGGGAGTTTGGGTGAAGGGCGGGTACGCCTCATATACAGGCATTGATGCCCCAGCGTAGGCCTGCATGTTCGGCGGGACGGCGGCCTGAGCCACAGGATTGTATGGAAAATAGCAAAAACCCATCTGGGCGTTCCGATGGTGACTCATTGTGGCGGGCGCGGTACGGGGTTGTTGCCCATAAATGCTTTGATGCGACCCAGCCATCGGGAAGCGGGAAATGGGCGCGTTCGCCCAGAGGAAATAGTCTGGAGTGTCCAACGCAACAACGGCCTGTCCCATAAACTGGGGATAAGACGGCCGCTGACCGTAATTGGGAGGGGCGCCAAAAAATCCAGATGCAGGACCACTAGTCCGAGTTAATGCGGCGTTAATTTGATCTACGGACCTAGAAGAGGAAGGGCCAGGGGGATAATAATCTGCTGAAGAAGTCGCGGTGGCAAGTTCACCAGTGAACTCCGCGAAATTATCGCGTACTTGAGAAGTAGGGAGGGGATTGGCGACGTTCGTTGACCTGAACCACGTATGAGAGGGAATCTTGGTCGAGACGGGGTCGACTTACAACGGCAGCTGGTTGTTCTCGGGCTCGAGAGACTGGTCGTTTGAGTTCGCATTAGGACTAATCATTGCAACTTGTAAGTGAAAAGTGATTTCTATATGAACAGGTGCCACTGACCGTAAGTTGAATGTTCTTGAGAGCCATGAGTCTAGGTCTTCTCCATACGTATCATCGTCCTGAGAACATGCTTCGACCCGTTCATTTGATGGAAGCGGGGCGACTATCTTGAGAGGTCCACCGTTGAAGTAGTCGCCGGCCCTGGAAACATAAACGTGAGCGCGACAAATGGGTGGATGGGGGCCTGCACTAACCATGGTGGAATTACAGCGTCCTCGTCGGGCGTCTTCAACGTCTCTTCGTTATCCTGCCAGCCCTCCACGGGACTTCCATCTGTGAGCGGGGGCGTGATTTGAGATGCTGAAAAGTCCTCAGGATTTACGTCGCCAGACTGGGAGTAGCTGAGAACGAAAGGTCAGTACGTGACGCGACTCGACGTGTTGAGTGACATTGACTCACTCTTGGACTTGAGGCTGGAGGTAGCTGAAAAACGCGTTAGGAAGGAACGCGACGCGTTAGTGTGTGGCATCAACTCACGATTTTTGTTCGAAATTATTATTGAGTGCCGTAAATATACCATTTCCAAGCCAGTATTCGTCGGGCACTCGACCATCGCTAAGGAAAGTAAGTTTCGACGCGAGAGGATTGAGAAGAGGAGGAAGCGTACAGAGCAGAAGTCGACGGGTGAGCGTTGTAGTTCTGTACATCTCGCGGATGATTGTAGTTGTGCATAAGAGGATAGCTGGGCAGGAGTAGTAGGAGGAAGGGTAAATGAAGAAAGGGCGATGAAGTGAAATGAGGGAAAGAAGTGGAGGAGATTGGGGGAGGCCGATAATTTACTGAAATAGGAATTCCGAACCCAGAAGTCGCGTTGGGTCAACGCAACTACAAACATGTAACGTCCGTGTGGCTTACAAAGGTCAACGCGGGGCTGCTGGTTGCGATCTGTCATATCAACAATGAGGGCGTTGCCGGTGGCCTGGAAATTCCTGATGGTTCGGACAAGGAGGACGTTTATTCGGAGGCAAGGCAAGCCTTGGAGTCCCAGTGTCCGTCTTTGTATTATCTTCTATGCTACAGCATCACCATAATTAGCATGCCGAAACGTGAAGCGGATGGCGGCGGTACGCACTTGAACCTCAAGCTGGGCTCCGCTCACTAGTAAAATATCTTTTACCAGCAAGAAGTTCATCTCGACTCGTTTAAATGTGGATCCGCATCCAAGTACCCATAATGTGCACGCAGCCCGTGGTACTTCGTCTGTTCTTCTCGCAAAATCTCCTGCGTTAAAAACACAATAGAAACAGTAACATATATTGACGGTGAGTGGCGTGCGATACCTTGGGCCGGAAGTCCGGACAAGCCCCACTATACCCTCCAGGCCGAGGTAGGACTGTTCAGACAACTGGCTGCTTCAATCTTTGCAATACCTTAATTGCATCTGAATACTGGATGCGGGGGTGGTGAGAAAAAAAAACATACATCCTGGGCGACCTTTTTAGAATGCGTTAGCACCGTCGAACGAATACCATTCACGAAAAAAGACTCACCTAGCGGGGGCGTACAGTGGGAATTTCCAGAAAGATCGCGTCAGCTCTTTCGTATTAAATGGTTGTGATTTCAGAAGAGCAATGATTTTCTGCGGTCGTTAGTACTATAGAGTTCGCACCAAGTAGCGTACTTCCATTTCATTCAGATCAGTCGCCAAAGAAGGCTTGGCACCACAAGGTTGCCTAGATTCAATCCTGGGTGGGGCAGGTCCCGATGGACGTGACAGTGGAAGAGATTCCCATGGATATTGAAGTTGTGGACCTGCCCAGCCAGGATTGAATCCGGGCACCCTTGTCGTGCCAAGCCTTCTTTGGGGACTGACCTGGTTCAAGGACCAGTCAAGTCTGTTTGAGCGTAAAAAACTTGGAAAACTTGATATCTATGCCTTCTTGAGAATTTTAAGCTATAAATATGGATGATTAGAGATGAAGGCGTGTCCCAAAATTTATATTCAGTTCTCCCGACAAGTCTTTGAAGGGACATGTGCGAAACATATAAGCACAGTAGCCAAGAAAGATATCGGGTGTACGTACATTTTTTTTCTTCATCTGTCCGACGAATAGGAAAGATGGATTTTTTTGAACGTTCCCTTTGTGGCTCAAGTTTCAGCTCGCATGCAACCATTCCGCTGGTTGTCAAATTACCCTTCCCATAGAAGTATTCTTTGTGTACGCGAATTGATTGAATGACGGCGCAAAGCCTCTCAAGACATTCACAAATTCGATGGTGCTGATATCGATTGAAAGTTCTTGCCACGTCGTCTTTGTATTTTTTGTGGGTAGCTTCTGACAGCCGTCTTCTCTGTGATTCGCATCGAAAGTGAGAAAGACACGTACGGTCAAAGAGAGGTATCCAATCCTTTCCGTTCCGGAGGTCATGGACATGAAGCTTCAAGCGCAAGCGGCAACAGGGATGTAAGTTGATGATGATGATGATGTGGCGGTAGTATGTCGTTCTCGGAGGCTGTTGCCAAATACTACCTCCGTTGAACATTCCGACGTCACAGCGTCACCATGACGCCTTCATCTATTTGATTCGGAAGATGTTGGCAATCTCAACTTCCGTCAAACGTTCGTTCTGATGCTCCGCGCCACATTGTGGCAAATACGTTTTACATTCCTGGGTGAGCTCAGTCGGTTTTCCTACGACTTTTTGAAGAAGGGAAACCCTCCTGTAGATCAACCGTCGCCACCAACTTGTGCTAGCGCATGCCAAGTGTAACAATTCTCAGAGCCGCATTCCAACAACTGCGCATTCCATTCGTACGCTTACGCGAACCAGGGATGGGTCTCAGATACTCTCCCCATTCCCAATTGTTGCACCTGGATGGATGACATGACCACTTACACTGACTGGGCAAAAAGAATGTCCCATCATTTTTTGGACAAAGTTAGTCCTGTAACACAAGAACCAAACATTTTGAGAACTACAGTCTGGTGTATGAAACATAGCCAAAAAGGTGTAGATTGTACATACCAAGTCTGGGGATGAACAAGTGAAAAGTCATGATAAGGCAGGGAATTGACTGTGACAAGTGCCAAAAATGGGATGTAACAGAGTGGGAAATTCTGAATGACTGCAACCTACTGAAAGCAATTCACAACTTGAGGAAGAGATATTTTGAACACTGGATCTCCCTGCTATTGTTATAAGCTTCATAAAGTCTCTGGGCTAGAAAATTTTATATCCTCCTCTAAAAGGTAAATTTGAACCTGTTCTCCATTTTATGTATTTTTCACTCAATATATTTGTTGAAATGAGGTAAAATGACTCCCCATGAATGTTTGTAATGTGTATAATACAAAGGTTGGTAGAAATATTAAAATGAACATTGCATGATGTCCGTAGAAGCTAATTTCCAGAGTTTTTCTGGAAGTAAACAAGTATCTACAACATTGGTCCTTCTTTTCTGCAAGAAGAAAAAATGCTACCATCCTTTTGAATTGATCCATGGAGACTCAGGATGTCTTTTAAACAATGCCTAAAGTATAGCATGATAGCAAATAAATTTACACTGGGTATAACTTGAAAAGTCCCAAATAAAAGTACATCTTGCATAGAGCAAGAAAGGTGTGGGTCTCAGATCCTTGCATAAATAGGACCTCTGTTTATTTCTTTGGGATGGTGTTACTAGGCATGAGAAGTGCCTTGTGAAATATTTTTAGCCCCAATTCACCAAGAAAAATGTTAAGAATTGGTCCAGGATGATTGCTCTATGCAAAATGTACTTTTATTTGGGACTTTTCAAGTTATACCCAGTGTAAATTTATTTGCTATCATGCTATACTTTAGGCATTGTTTAAAAGACATCCTGAGTCTCCATGGATCAATTCAAAAGGATGGTAGCATTTTTTCTTCTTGCAGAAAAGAAGGACCAATGTTGTAGATACTTGTTTACTTCCAGAAAAACTCTGGAAATTAGCTTCTACGGACATCATGCAATGTTCATTTTAATATTTCTACCAACCTTTGTATTATACACATTACAAACATTGATGGGGAGTCATTTTACCTCATTCCAACAAATATATTGAGTGAAAAATACATAAAATGGAGAACAGGTTCAAATTTACCTTTTAGAGGAGGATATAAAATTTTCTAGCCCAGAGACTTTATGAAGCTTATAACAATAGCAGGGAGATCCAGTGTTCAAAATATCTCTTCCTCAAGTTGTGAATTGCTTTCAGTAGGTTGCAGTCATTCAGAATTTCCCACTCTGTTACATCCCATTTTTGGCACTTGTCACAGTCAATTCCCTGCCTTATCATGACTTTTCACTTGTTCATCCCCAGACTTGGTATGTACAATCTACACCTTTTTGGCTATGTTTCATACACCAGACTGTAGTTCTCAAAATGTTTGGTTCTTGTGTTACAGGACTAACTTTGTCCAAAAAATGATGGGACATTCTTTTTGCCCAGTCAGTGTACCTATATCCCTCCTCGTTCCCCTGCACGACCGGGATACAGACACCAGAGTCATCAAACAAAGCGTCAATGCACCGTCTTCTTGTCAGTTTGCTAAGCAAGTACTATCTCACCGCAGCATGGCGGGAGAGTGCTTTTCGAACTCCCTCTCTCGAGGCTGCCAAAGAGGAGGGGACTTAGTTGAGTCCCCGTGTCGAGTTGCCTTATGATTGTTGACCTTTTGCAGTATATACTATTTTAGCAGTAATGGGTCCCTTGCGCTATTTGCGCCGCCTGGTCTTTTTCCATCCACCCTCAACGCCAGGTCAATCCCGACATCCCCGGCCTTGCTCCCCTGCTCCGCCAGCTCGTTCATTGCACCTCGGTGTGGCGTCGAGCTCAAGCTGCACTTTATTGCAAGTTCGGCGGTATATCTCATCCATTGTTCCATCAGGATTGTCCCAATAACAAGGGCTGCATCTGGATATGAGTAGTCAATTTCTTCCGTCAATGTTGCTTTGATGTTGCTGGATTCTGGTCCTTTCTAATAAACACAAGAACAAACAATGGAAGACCATCTGGATGACGCTCAAGTTGTTCTTTTGCTAGCATCTCTCAAAGCTGCATCTGTCATTAGGTGTGTTTATAACCTAGTAACATGCGAATGTGTCTGAAAGCCTTCCAGAAGATCACCACCTTACTCCGTCCAACTGTAAAGTCCCCCTCGCCTCGCCTGTCGTTTGGGCGCCTCCGAGTCGCTGACATGTCTCCTTCATCTTGCGGCAGGTCTGAGATGACTGAACAAGCACTCAGGTTCATGCAAATTGTACCACCTGGAACTCCCCAACGTCTAGCACTGTACGGGGAATTTGTCGCATCCCTCGAGAACGGGATTCGGAAGAAGTTTGCTGATGGCGAAACAATCCAACCCCTACTTTATCAGATACAAGCGGCGATTCTGGATCCACCCTCGGAGCTAGTAAAATCCAAAAATCCCATAGATCTGGATACCCTCATTTGCTATCTGCAGGACGCATGCACTCTCTTACCCTCAGATAATCCTCATCGCACACGCTTTTTCAATAATCTTGGTTTCTCTCTGTGGACTCGGTACCTCCGCATGGATTCTGACGCAGATTTAGATGAAGCTATAGAGCGATATCAAAAAGCTCTTGAAGCTCATCATGCAGGAGATCAGTCACAATCTTCAACTCTGAGTGGACTGGGTTGTGCTCTCGTCTCTCGATACCAACGATCAGGAATCGATGACGCCGATCTCCAGCTCGCGATAACGTACCATCGCAAAGCGTTAGAATCCAGGCCAGAGGGTCATCCGGATCGTGACATCTCCCTCAACAATCTAGGGGCTGCCCTATGGCTGCGATTCAAACTCACGCGTGATCAGATTGATCTTGAGGAAGCTATCTTGCACCACCGTGAAGCCCTAACTCTCAGACCGGAGGGCGATGAAAATCGTTCGTCCTCCCTTTGTAATCTTGCGGCAGGGCTGCTGGTGCGTTACGAGGAAACAGGACAACTCGATGATCTGAACACCGCGATTAAGTTGTATGAACAAGCATACACGGAGGACGATGCAACCTCGCTCGATAACTTGGCTGTCTCGTTACGGACACGATTCCGCAGGGAGGGAAATGTTGATGACATTGAGCGAGCACTTGGCTTACAATTGAAAGCCCTTCCACTCCGCCCGTTCAATCATCGAAATCGCGGTGATTCCCTGAGCAATATGGGGCTAACGTTACATGATGGGTTTGAACTCACGCATGAGATAGATGCGTTGAACTCTGCGATCTCATATCACCTCGAAGCCTTAAAATATCGCACAGTGGGAAATTGGGATCGTCCTTCCACCCTCAATGATGTTGGTCATGCCTTGCACGCTCGATATCAAGCGCAATGCAATTTGAGCGACCTCGAAGAGGCCATATCCCACCATCGTGAAGCTCTTCAGCTCACGTCCTCTGCCCCTCGCGATTCTCGTCGCCGACGCTCGTTGACAAATCTCGGAGCTGCGCTCCTGACTTTTTGTCGGGATTTCAGGCGAGAAGAGGACGTCCTTACCGAAGCGATCCATCTTCTTCAGGATGGCTTGTCCGAGTACTCAGAACAGCAAGTTGATAGATTCACCTGCGCGAATGCTCTAGCATGCTCCTTTTGGCTTCATTACCACCGCTTCGGCGTTGCCGATAGTCTGGAAAAATCCATCATTAACCATCGCGTTGCTCTGGGTCGTGCTTCCTCAACAAAGGATCGTGTCACATCATTGTCAAACTACGGTGTCTCGCTCCTGGCGCGCTTCAAACGGGACGGTAATCTCGTCGAACTAAATGAAGCCATTACATCACAGCGCAATGCCCTTAGGTTGTGTCCCACGGAGGGTTCTATGCGTTCAGCACCGTCCCGTCAATTAGCACTCGCTCTTGAGAAACGGTTTTTGGACAGTGGCAATGTAGGTGATTTGGAAGAAGCAACGTTGCTTCATCGGAGTTCCGTTATCCATGAACCTCCAGAATCGAGCTCAAGACACATCGCTTTAAGCAATTTAGGAAACAATCTTCTGCTTCTTTACGAACAGAATGGGGATCTTCAGGCTCTCAAGGAAGCTATCAAAATTCACACCGACGTTCTCTCAAAATTAAACCCAACTCACGCGGATTATGCTACAGCTCTCGGTTGTCGGGGGGCCTCACTACGAAGTCGTTACGAGGAATTCGGAGATCTTCAGGATTTGGCTGAAGCCGTAGAGTTGCGCACTCAAGCTCTGCAATTTGAATCCAGTGATCTTAGTCGGGCAATCATTCACAACGACATAGGAAATATCTATTGGCTCAGATATGAACGCCTGGGTAATCCTTTTGACATTCATGCTTCGATCTCCCATTTCAGGGACGCGGTGGCTTTGTCCAGAACCTCACCACACTATATGGATTTGTTTCATACCAATCTCGCTGTAGCTCTCCATTCCAAATTTGAGTTGGAAAATAAGCGGGCTCTTCTCGACGAGGCATTGGGGTATCTTGACAAGATACAATATGCCCCTGACTCGAAAGCAACGGCGCACGCACATCATCACCTTACTCTTGGTAATATCTACCAGTCCTACCATCAAACGTATGGAGAAAAGGAGTGCTTGGTGAAAGCTATCGCCCATCTTGAAGAAGCCTCTGTCTTACCAGCAGCTTATGAGGATGAATACAAAATCTACAATGATTTAGGGATTGTTTTAAAGGATCGATACGAGACCAGGGGCGATATGGACGATCTCGAAGGGGCCATTGAGTGTCACAGGAAGGCGGCAGCCTTAATCTCATCAAGGAAATATAAACTCCCACCAACCCTCATGAGCCTTGCTAATACAATCCTTACTCGGTTCGAGCACCTGGGTCGGGAGGATGATCTTCAAGAGGCACTCGCTCGTCATCGAGATGTCCTTCAGTTCATCTCCGAAGATGATGCCCTGCGATACAGATGTTTGAATAATGTTGGGATCACGCTTTTGTTGCGGTTCAAGCATTACCATGAAAGAAAGGATCTCGAAGACTCGATCTCCTCATACAGACAAGCTCTACTCTTGCTGAGTCCTCTTCATCCTGATCAATGCATGTGTCTGGATAATTTGGGATGCGCTCTTCAGACTTTATTTGAAGAAACAAAAAATGAAACGTATCTCATTGAAGCCATCGATTGCCGGAGAAAAGCATTGGATCTTTGTGCGCCTGGGCACGTCAGCCGCTATACTTCTCTCTACAATCTTGGCCAGGTTTTGTTGAATTTTTTTCATTTAAAAGGCGAGATGTCCATCCTCAACGAATCGGCTGAGCACCTGTCAAAAGCCAAGGAGGAAACTTCAGATGACCATCCCGTCCGTACAATAATCAATGCTGGGTTGGCAGCATGCTTTTTGATTCGAGGGGAACAGGATAGCAGGATTGATCAAAATTTAGCATTCGCGCTTTTCGAGGAAGCTACCACTCACAGAACCGCGACGTCGAAATCCCGGTTCGATGTAGCTTTGCAATGGACCAAAGCGGCAGAAAAATATAAGCATCCATCTGTCCTTCTTGCCTATTCGTCCACTCTGAGCCTCCTCCAGCAGAGTCTCTTGATAAATCCTACAATTGAAAGCCAACGCGATTTTTTGATTCACCTCCCAAAATCTCTGGCTTGTGATGCATGTGCCTGTGCTATTGAGTCCGGGGAAATCGAAAAAGCTGTTGAACTTCTTGAATTGGGACGAGTTATTCTGTGGAACCGGATGCGGGGATATCGCCATACAATGGATGGTCTTCGAAAATCTCATCCAACCCTGGTTTCTAAATTCGAGAATCTATGCGCCTCCCTTGAGAGGTTGGCAACGAGCTCAGACACCGGCCAGAATATGGCATCACCAAAACGGTCTTCGGAGGTGAAATATTCCTCGCCGTTCGAATTGAAGATGCGCAATCAGCGGCTTCTTTTACAGCAGTGGGACGAAGTCGTGACAAAAATCAGAATGCTCCCTGGACATGATGGTTTCTTGAAACCTATTCCTTTTGACACCCTTCAGTCTGCGGGTGCGGAAGGCCCTGTCATCATTGTAAACCTAAGTGAGCGAAGATGCGACGCGATTATTCTTGTCCAAGGTCGGCCACCAGTACTCGTCCCCTTGCAATCTATCTCTGTTGATGCTGTTGAAGCTATGAATGTGGATCTGCAGGAGTCCCTGGTACTCTCCCGAAACCAGCTCGAGATTGATGCAGCTGCCTCGAAAATCCCTCTTCGAAAGCTGTGGAATATGCGTTTGAACAAGATTCAAACGGTTCTCAGGAATTTGTGGAAACACGTCGGATACCCGATCCATCAGCAACTGCTTGAAATCAATGTGCAGGAGATGAGCCGTATATGGTGGTACCCAACGGGTCAGCTATGTGCTTTGCCTATTCACGCAGCTGGTCCTTACCATGTGGAGATGAAGAATATCCCTGATCTTTACATCTCATCCTACACGCCGACTCTATCGTCCCTAATTTCCGCCCGTGCGGTTAAAGACCTCGCCACTAGCCCGTCGTTCCTCGCCATCGGAGTGCCCGATAATACTTTGCGGTCCGCGGAAGAAGAGATAGCAAAGATTAAGAATTACATTCCAGATGTGAAGGTTATGATTGGTGAACAAGTCACTCGTGATCCGCTACTGTGCGCTCTTCGCCAACATTCTTGGGCACATTTTGCTTGTCATGGTCATTGGAATGCACGCCAGCCCTTCCAATCCTGCTTTGAACTCTTCGGCAAGGAATCAATATCTGTCCTAGAACTTGCGAAAGAGCGACTGACGCACGCAGAATTTGCGTTTCTGTCTGCCTGTTTCGCCGCCACCCCTGACCTCGCCGGGGCCCCAGATGAAGTCATTCACCTCGCTTCGGCATTGCAATTCTCTGGGTTTCGTAGTGTGGTCGGAACTCTATGGGAATTGATTGACAAGGATGCTCCTCAGTTGGCGAGCGATTTTTATCAGGATCTGGTTCAAGAAGGAAAGGACAAACTCGACTTCAAAGACACCGCTCGCGCTCTTAGCTTAGCCGTGAATAAATTGAGGGAGAAGCCCAATATGACGCCAAACAGATGGATACAGATAATTCATATTGGGGGATAAGCGTAGGTAAAACCACTCCTTGATGAAGGCAGAAGAGTTCTGACTTGTGACCATTTAGAAATTCGAGGAGCTCACAGGCAGACATCATATTAACAAGTGATATTGAGGATGAATAATGTAGACCAACTGCACTAGAAATGGACACCAGAAAATGGGGAAGTAGGACCTAGGTGAACAACTTAGCGCTACATACAAATGACGATGTTAGAAAATGAATTGGAGGACAGAAGGGAAAATTATGACTTGCTTAAAACAAGTCCGTTCATACTCCCTACTGATCAGGGACTCTATTTTTGTTTGCGAACACTGGCATGTTCGCAAAGCACCAATTTTAACGCCTTTGAACGATTGCTTGTGATTATGAGAGTGTTGGAATTGGCCCTTGCGATGGGATCCAAATGAATACTATCAATATTGGTATAAAATTAACATAGTAAGAGAGAGCTCATAATAATCAAAATCCCTCTAGTTCACCCTAACTCTCTTGCTCGTGGCATGGGCCGCCGGGTGCCCTCGGCCCACTATAACCCTCTTCGCCTTCCTACACGTCTGAAAATGTTTACTGAGCGCGTAAGCCCCGAAAAGCTCCGTCCCACAAAACTTGCACCCCTGATTCAACTTCATGTGAGGTCCAAAGATATGCGTCACCAACATCGACGCAGGGATTTTCTCCGTGAGCCTGCACGACGACCACTGGCACGCAATGAGCGGGTCTCTTAACCCCATAGCCAGGTAATGGGCTTCACGAAGGTGGGTGCGTAGGTCTTCGATAAACTTGTGGGAGATGGTGAAGAGGTGGCCGCAGTTTTGCCAGCCGCAGGGGTAGACGCCGAACTTGGCCACTGAGTCTGAGTTTGTGGAGAAGGCGGTACTTGCGGAGCGTTTCAGAGTGGTAGCAGTAAATTGGGGTCTAAGATATCATATATGAGTTGAATTTGATTGGCAAATATGAAGAGGACGTACGTCGCGAATATTACGTCAGGGGAGGGAAGGAAGGCTTGTGGAGGGCTTGGTGTGAAGGTGGGGCTATCGAGAATGATCGTTAAAGGAACAAGAAATGATGGATTTGAATTTACGTGGATGGAAAATAATAAGCTGTTCGTCGATAGTGTTGAGAGTTATTTGCGAGAGGCAGGGTGGCATGCGGAGCCCTGAGTCAATAATCAGGAGGGTCGAAGGGGGAAGTCAAGGTAAAAAACGAACACTCCGCCGACGCATAGTGCATTAGTAGTAGTTTGAGCGAGGCCAGCCTCGACGTGGTTGGTAGGCATGATTGGTGGCATAAGTGGGGACATAGCGCTGAATAGTGTAAGTGTCAGCACAGATACGCGTCGCGTCGCGAAAGCAGGCACGTACGATTCGTTACAGTTACTCATAAGGTTGGAAATCCCTCGTGCGATCACCTGGACCACGCGTGGATTTTCAAGCCCCTCAAGAACAGCCTTGATGTCGGAATCATTCTGCGTACTGTCATTGACAGTCGTAGAATTTGCCGAGCTGTAGTGTTAATTATGAATAGTTGTGCCAGAATAGAAAGAAGTAGAGGCGGCGTACTCGTTCACCAGGCTTATCAGATTACAGACATCAATGGCGTCGGCGGGGAGAGGCATGGTTGAGAGAGGATAAAAAGATGTAAAATCAGAAGGAGAAATAGAAAAGAGAAATAAAAAGAAGTTATAGGGATGAAGAAGTCTTTGTTGAGCGTCAAGCTCGACTTATATAGATGCCTGGCGAGGACACAAACGCGTTGTTTGGCCACATTATTCAACACGGCGGTTGATGGCGAAACAAAGGAACGTGAGCCTTTCACGCCATATCAAGGGTTCAAGGCAAAGCGTGTTGTGCAATGTGGGCCGTGGCCAATTCCAGCCAAGAGGATTGTGCGGCGGAGGTCGATGGCTGGCGCCTTGATTTCTAAAAATAGTATCATTTAATTCGGGTACAAACGGATGTAAATCATCATGTAATCATCCATTGAACCAAACAAGCGCAAATGCCTCCTCTCAAGCCTTCCGTCTTGCCTTTTTCTCTCTCTTGAAGATGGTAACGAATTAGTCTCGGGCACGAAGGTTAGTCACTTTGGCTCCTGTTGAGTGGCTCACTTCTTTGATGTAAATGTCGTTGTCTTCAACACGCGATGCGAAGGGCTGGTGTAACAGTAGCACCGATCTAAAGTTATCAGCCTGGTGCGATCCGCCGTTTATGAGAAATCCTTTCTTTGCAACAAGATACTCTATCTTATGGCCCTTAGTACATCCGTTTTTACACTCCATACACTCAGTTTCCACAGCTTTGACCATCCGAGTCGCCATTCACTTCCACAAATATCCGCGACCGGAGGTTCCGACTCAACATCACCATCGAGCACAATGCGCCAGGTTTGGTATCATATCCAGCTGGCTCCCCTGGTTACCTGGTGCAACAATTTCTCTACGATGTGTTTCGCGGTGGCTTGTGGCCAGCAGCCTATGTATGAGTAAGTCCGACACGGCGTGGCATGCTATCCCCATAACTCGTTAACCAATCTCCATTCTTTTGCTACGTGCGAAATAGGAATATTCTTTGTGGCCATGGGTACATTGATTTTCGAACGCAACTGGAGGATGCCGAGTGGCTTGGGCCATCCCTGGAATTGGGGACCCATTGTCCGCCCTGTTTGTTCAGGCCACAATCACAGCTCCTTAAATACCCACCCAACGCAGGGTCAATCCATCCCCTCCTCCTCCTCCGTCTCCCCCCTCCACAACTCAATATTTCTAATTTATTGGGGTTCGCAAACATGACAGAGTACGACTACTCTCCGGAAGCTTATGAGCAACACCTTGCCACTCAACTCAGAATTTCTCGCTGGGCAGAAGCCAATAGTCAGTACCCCGCAAAAAACCCCTTCGCGACACCTGTAGCTTCCTCCGTCGCTACCTCCCGCCCCTCCACCCCTCATCGCTACCAACGTCATTTGGGTCTCGAAGCTAGTCTTCCACATGGGTCCCCTTCCATTCATTCCAGCGATTCACGCCACACCAAGAATTCTCGTTCAACTCCTCACACTCCTTCTTCTCGTTCCAGGTCTCGTTCCAGGGCACATGCTCCGCATGTCGAGTCAACCCCGCCTCCAGTCCCGCAGAAGGACAGCAAGACCAATCTTGCATTAAAATATCGTCGTCAAACGCCTTACTATCCTGATCACCCTGTTCCGGCCAATGCCACCTCTCATGCTCCTTCGTCTGCCACCCAGGTCGCGGCGGAAGGACAAGAACTAGGTTATATTCCAAGCCAACCCACTCTCCCTGAAGCGCCAGAGGCTAACAAGTACTCACGCTCCCATGGTGCCCAGTCTCACTCCTCGTCGCTCAGTCGGTCAAACCTTCGTCGGATGCAGAGTCAACCATTCCCGTCTAATGATCAGGGGCTTCCCCCGATCGCCAACATTCCTTACCCACCGCCTTACACTGAGACTTCAACGTCCTGGTATCGCCCACGAACCAAGAGCCAGCCCGATCACCTCGCGAAGGGAAAGTCTCAGGGCTCTTACCCAGCTTCGCCTAAGCTCGACTTAAGTGGCTATACCAGCCCGGCAACTTATGATCCAGCTGGGAAGCCACTCGCATCAAGCCCATACACACAAATGAATCCGCAGGGTTCTTACCCAGTCCTCCCTTTCCAGACGAATGGTTATCCTTGCCCGACATCTCTTGATATGTCTGCAGCTGTTCCTGGTTACACTACTGTCTACCCAGACCCCACTCGCTCGACGCGCATCAAGTCTTCCTCTAAACATAGCACGGTCGTTCCGATCAATGGTGGGAAGGACGGCTACGTTGTTCTTCCCGCGAGCAGGACGAGAGCCAGGGTATACATCGTAAGTGTCTCTTCGTAGACCTTCACGGAGAACTGACCAGGTTGCCCTTCGTGCAGAATCCCCCCACGGAGCAGAAACAGGAGCTTCCGCTGTACCAAGACGAGAAACAAGCTCACATGTACAGGATGGCCCCTGAAGTGTTTGAGGACAATCAGGTTAAGCCCAAGAAAAGTAAGGGTTTGCTTGGGAGGCTTCGGGGCGGTTTTTCGTCCTGTGCGGATTTGAGTGGCAAAAATTAATGGAACGCGTACCAGTTTGCAAAAAGAAGAAAAAAATAGTTATTAGATATGTATACAGCTCGTTGGGGCTCTCATGTATTCTGTTGGTTATCAATGACTCGATTTGATTGCGACTTCCTTCGGCAAACTGAAGGAGCCGTAGCCGGAACTTCTCTTTTTCTTCCACCATTGTTTTTACCAAGTTTTTACTGAACACTTAAACGTTTGAACGCTGAACGTTTTGACTCTTGCCTGATTCCGTGAAAACGGAACGAACGCGCTGGCAAGTGGCTCATCATCCTGATGATATTGCGTCGAGCCGCTCGCCGGGGTGACAAGAAGGGGAAATCGCGGTAATAAGGTTGCTGGACGCACGAAATAGGCAATACACGGGTAATGAGACACCGAAATTGGAAAATTAACTTCAACAAATTTAAGCACAACCTTTCACTACAAAAACTACATGAAAATCTGAGATAAATACCCTTTTATAACTGTGCCAAGTTTCAGAATGTTTGAACAACCTTTCGTGAAGAAAAACTAATATTATGGGTGTCTCAATGAGTGGTGTGACTGTATTTCGGCTACTTCCGAAAAACAGTCCATTTTGAAAACTCCACAGCATTGTGAATATTGCCTTGACTGCATCCAAAATTTGTAGACTGGTAGATATGAGATTTTACTACATGTTAAAATTTGTTTTGTAAAAATTGGTGTAGTATTGAGTGAGATATTAGGTAGGCAAAAGTGTCTCAAATGATGGTGGTGTCTCATTGGCTGGTGGATGACTGTAAGTAATGATTACTGCACCCGTTCCCACCCATCCGCCGCTCAACTCTCCTCTGACCATCATGGCCAGCAGAAAATACGCCAATGTCTCCTGGCTTGATATAGGCCAACTCTGCTTCACCTTCTTGAGGATTCGTACGTCTCTCCGCCTTCAGTTCTACCAATCCCTAATCTTTCGTTGATAGCTTTTGTTGTCGGATGGAATGCGGTCAGATTTCTGTTCACAAACCCACCTTTCAGAGGAATTGGGCGCAACGTGTCCATTTTGGGCATGAAGTTTTTCCTATCGCACTCGTCACTGCCACAACTTCAATATGTGGGCGGTACGACACTTGGAGTGTACAAGACATGGGCGAAAAAGAACAAACTTCCGATTACGGTTGAGGAACTTGTCGAAGATACCCGGTTGCTGTGGGTGGGGCCGAAGCAGACGAAGCGTGTCGTTCTCTACTTCCACGGTGTGTCGTGTTGATCTCGGCACTCGTAAAAACGCTGACCTTTCGTGTCAGGCGGCGGGTATATACTCCCCCTCCAGGACCTTTCACTCAGTTTCTGGAGATACGTTCAGCTCGAGCTTCAAAAACGGGATTGTGACGTTGGCTTTGCCATTCTCAACTATTGTTCGTCAATTTGATTGCACGCTGTATCACTTTCTGACGTTCATGTTAGCCCTGTATCCAGTCGCTTCATTTCCTACTCCATTGTGTCAAGCAACGATTGTGTTAGACCATCTCCTTGCACTTGGTGTGCACCCAAGCAACCTCCAAATTGTCGGCGACTCGGCAGGGGGCAACCTCATTCTGCAACTCATCTCCAACCTCCTCCACCCGCTCAATCCCTCAACCAAGATTCACACACCCTTAAAGGCCCCCATTCGCGGTGTTTATCTGATGTCACCTTGGGTTCACATCCATACGGATGATGCAGCCTACTCGACAAACCGCGATTCCGACTTATTAGCACCTTCCTTCGTCTTAGCATTCGGCCACGCCATTAAGGATGACGTTTCTATCAGTCAATGCCCGTACCTTCAACCTTCCTCTGCGCCAAGCTCGTGGTTCGACGACATCCATACTGTTGTGGACCGGATATTACTTACTGCTGGAGATGTGGAGATGTTCAGAGACGACATCACCCATTTCTCGCGGGTTCTGGCGAAAGGAAAGGGGCATTTCAGATATGTGTTGCAGGAGCATGGTATTCATGATGATCCGTTCTACGACTTTATGTTCAGTGAGACACCACCCGCACAGGAATTGGGCACCCTCACCCCTCTCATCATCGATTGGCTGGAAAGTGGGTTCAGTCTTGTTGACTCCGATACGTAATCCGTGTTGCTGAAGCTTGACTTTGTTAACGTACCAATTATTCACTACATTGAGGTGCTGAACGAAGGACGCCATTTTCACGCTTCCATTATATTTCTTTTACGACAAGATGCAGGCACGTCTGTTTTCTGGCCGAGTTATCCTTGATACTGCCAACATTTAAAGTAGTCGTTAGGCTCGTAGTCCAGCCAAAGCCGTGCACGGGAGTACCAATTTCATAAATGTTTTCCATCCGACCGATTAAAAAAATCACTGCCGTGGTTTCACTGTGAAACAACTTTTTTTTTGGTTTTTTTTTGGATTCTTGCTACAGAAAACCTCCACCTTGGAGAGCCAAAGTGACGCGATTGACGCGCAGTAAGGTGAATACAACCAACTTATCGGACTGTATTTCCCAAAATTTCTCCAGATTAGGGGTCAGGCATAGGTTTCGTCTAATTTTTATCTGCACATTAGCTCAGGCCAAGTATATATACCGTAAAAAAAATCTGTTGTGCGGGCAACGCCAGCAATGGGCAGGGCCTTGAGCTTAAGCTTTAAGCTTAAGTTCGAGCTACTGGCGACCTCGGTGGCAGTGATGCACACACTGCACGTGTTTGACAAAAACATAAATCTGAAAAAATATTCAACTGATTTTTATCCAACTTGGGATCAGGCCTCAGGGATGTGGCATGACATCTCATGACATTCATGGGTCCTGTTGTTGGACGTCCCTGGTTGGACGTAGCTGAGTAAATGTCCGAAACGTGGCTTTTTCCCAACTTTTTCCATCTCTCGTTTGGCTTCCATGGCCAGCAGAAAGTATGCTGATGTCTCCTGGTTTGATATATGTCAAATCTTCCTCATTTGCTTGGGCATTCGTAAGTTCCTTACCTGACTACCCCCCAATCATCACTAACAGTTTACAGCGTTCGTCATGGCCTGGAATCTCATTAAGTTCCTGTTCATAGGTCCACCCGTCAAAGGCATGCGGTTCGGTGTAGCCATTGCGGCCGTCAGATTCCTATGTTCACGTTCATCGATCCCTCAACTTCAATATGTGAATGGTACCACCCTCCCGGTGTACAAGGCATGGGCGAAGAAGAACAAACTTCCAGTTGTGGTCGAGGAGCTTGTAGCAGATGCCAGGCTCCTGTGGATTGGACCAAAGCAGACAAAGCGGGTCATCCTGTACTTTCACGGTATGTTTCGCTGTTCTCGCATCACCAACAATCTGACTTTTCGAGGTAGGTGGCGCGTATCTCGCCCCGCTTATGGAATTTTCTGTAAGCTTCTGGAGATATGTCCAATTAGAGCTACAGAAACGAGATTGTGAAGTCGGCGTGGCTATTTTCAGCTACTGTTCGTGAGCATGATTGCTCTCTCTCTCCCAAAGAAGAACTTCCGGATGATGCTGACGTTCATACTATGTAGCGCTCTTCCCAGAGGCCCCCTTCCCCTCCCAGCTGCGTCAAGCAACCATCGCAGTAGATCATCTCCTTGCTCAGGGAGTTCACCCCACCAACCTCCAAATTGTTGGCGATTCAGCGGGGGGAAACCTCGTCCTCGAACTCATTTCCCACCTTCTTCATCCACTCGACCCTTCAATCAAGATCCAAACACCATTCAAATCTCGCATCAACGGTGTCTATCTTATGTCACCTTGGGTCCACATCCAGACGAATGAAGCAGCCTATTTGACCAACCGCAATTCGGATCTATTCGACGTCCCCTGTATCATAAAATGGAGCCGAGCCATCAAGGATGATGTCCCAGTTGATAACTTGAACCTGCCATACATTGAACCTTCCTCTGCGCCGATATCGTGGTTCGACGATATTCATACTGTTGTGGACCGGATACTAGTCACTGCCGGAGAGGCGGAGATATTCAAAGACGATATCACCAATTTTTCGAAGGTTCTGGCGAGAGGAAAGGCAAATTTCAAGTTTGTTGTCCAGGAGCATGGGATTCACGATGATCCATTTTTCGACTTCTTGTCTAGTGCTACACCTCCCCCGGAGAAACTAGGCACTCTCACTCCTCTCATTATTGATTGGCTGGAAAGTGGGTTTAATCTTGTTGACTCCGATATTTAGCCCCTGCAGTTTAGCCGACTCACACATGATGCTCACATTATTTATTATGAATTGAAGTTATTCATCCCCTCCAATCTATTTTGTTCCTCCATTCCTTCATTTTTGTGACGTTGAATTTTGCCCATGTGATTCAAAGGCTCTTCAACTCAGAACCGAGACGCTACAAGAAGGTCTGAACTTGAACATCTCAAGTCTCTAATAAGTAGCTGGCGCACACACCCTTTGTTTCAACAAAATATCTACGGATCAATTGGCGGCATTGAAACCCTCTACTACCCTTCATGGTTCATATATCGTGAACCTGGCAAGGTACGACTTCACATATATCGAAGTCTGTCTAGGAGAGACTACCTTCATGGATGATTTCTCTGGTTCTACATTTCCAACGATGTCCTGTATCGGCACCGCCAGCGCCCCGAGAGGCGCTAGAGTACTGGTCCTGGTTTCGACCGAAAGAGTAAGGGTGACGACGACGACGACGAAGCTTCCGACTAGAAACTGTCCATCGTTTGCTCTGACTTCTGGGCTTGAGAGCTCTTGCGCTTTCGCGCCTGGATTTGACGACCCATTACAATTTCCTGCTGCCCCATTTTACATAGTATAATGGAGTTTAGTTCCTTGATTGAAGCTTCGAAGCACCAGTGATGGTCGTTCCTGTATCACGGACATACGACCTCTGTCTGACTCCGTTACCGATTAATCGATTATGCTCAAAGTTAAAGTTCTGTACAAATTCCATCCAGCATTGATCCAGCACCTCCTCTGGGGTATTTTACGAAACTCATTTGTCAAAAACTCTACCTCAAACAGGAAGATTAAATCCTAGGACTATAAAGCATCTCGTACTAATATTAATTGTATATGTGTATCTAACCACAAGAAATCCAGCCGTATCCATCATCCACCCATTCCACTTTACACACATTCAAAGCATCCCTCATCTATCATAAGTGCCAACAACGCCACTAACAACCTCAATTCCAAGCCCATCAAGGGCCACCCTACCCATATCAGCCCACCACTCTACCAATTCCTGATCTTCAAACCATATAGATGTTTCCTCCGTGTCAGACTTGTTCATTGGGATTCCCGTGAAGGCGGAAGGAGTGATTGCGGACGTCGAGGCGTCTTCTTCAAGCAAAGGTTGCGGCGACGGCGACGACGGGGGAGGAGGAGTTCCAGGAGAATCCGAAATTTCCGCCCCATCCGACAACCTCCTCTTCTTCGCACTAGAATCCACCTCCCCCTCCCCCTCCTCGCCCAACATCAAACCACCACCCCTCATCCACCCCGCGACGTTCCCCTGCACCTTCACCTCCTCCAAAATCCCCACCACCGCCAACAACATCTCATCATACTCCCCACCCAGCACCCTCGCCTTCTCGCCCACCTTCCACAACTTCTTCTCAGCCTTCTTCCTCTCCACCCATCCCCTTTTCTTCTCCTTGCGTTTCCGTTTCTTCGCGGATATCCGGTCTTCAGTCTCATCTACTTTGAATGTGGGTACCGAGAGTTTGGCACGGGCAGCAAGCACCTCGGCGTCCCTGACAGCTACGTCCGTCCCGCGCGTGGTGGCAGCGTATTCACGCACGCAGAGGTGGTTGTATGGTTGGAGCTTGGCTTTGAGCGGGGAATCGTCTACCAGAATAGTCGTCAATGCAGAATGTTTCTGTGCCGAGTCGGCGGATGTAGTGGAATCGAGGTGGAGCGCGGACCATGGCTTTGCTAGGTCTTTGGTAGTCTCTGATTTGCGGTCTTGGAATTATATGATGAGTTTTGATTTCGTGTAAATACAAGGAGAAAGAACTCACGATAAGACTGTTCGTCGAGTCCAAGGGTATCCCTAGCCCAAACGGCCACCAGCTCCTCCTTCCTCTCCGCAAAACACTTGTCCACCATATCAGCAACGCTATGCGGCTGTGCGGAGCTCCAGACCATCGTATCGAGCCACGTCCTCGTCGTAGGGTGGAACAGATAATCACGGAGCGAAGGGAGATACGGTCTGGGGTACACGTGGCGGACGGGTCGTGGAGTGGAATAGGTGGCGTGTTGGTAGAAATCTTTGCGGTGGGGGCTGCGGAAAACCAGGGTTCCATTGAGATCCAGAATGAGCAGTTTGCGAGAGGCGGATGGGGAAGTGAGCTTGTTGGAGGGTTCGAGGGATGTTCGTAGATACTCAAGAGTGGGGGATGCAGGGATTGGGGGTGGTGTTGGCTTCCGCCCCACTCTAACCGCTCCCTTTCCTGGATGGTCAGGGTGTCTTGAAGAGGTACCGGCATCAGGAGATTGCGAACTGCGGTGTGGGCTCTTGGGAGATCGCGGAATGCGGGGCGGGCTGATGGATGGGACGGAAAAGGGTTCTGAATATGGATCGACTTTTCCTGAGAAATTGCGTTTTGACGAGGCGGATGGAGGGGTGACTTTATTGGACCGTTTGAGGGACTCCTGAGACGGGGAGTCGGGAATGGCAGGTGTTGGCATTCGTCCTACTCTAGCCACGTCCTTTCTTGAACAATCAGGGCGTCTAGAAGATGTGCCAGCGTTACTATACGCATCAAACGACCGCGAACGGCGAGGCGGGCTCTTGGGCGGAATGGAATAGTCGTCTGAATACGGGTCAAGTTTCCCAGCTTTGCCTGGGGAATCGCGGTTGGATGGGTCGTAGTTGTAGTCGTAAGCGAGGCCTCTGGAGTGCTTGTAGGCGTTTCCGCTATAATCTGGCGACATCCGCCTCATATTATAGGGAAAACGGAGTAGCAATTGCCTGAGACCGTTTTCAGCATCCGAGCAAATTGACGAGACAAAAAAACAATGACGGACCTGCGAAGAATGGTGACTACTAGAATGACGCCTCACAAAGACTCTGATTGAGTCTTGTATGGCTCTACAATAGCTGGGCTAATATCGTCGTCGTCGGTGCCAGCAGAGATCAAATTTTGCAATCATGTGATCACGATTCTCACGCGTTCATTGTTCAACGCCAAGAACAACCGTGTCCTTGCCTGGCTTTCAAAGGCGACAATTTGAGTGGGGAAATAAAAAACTTTCTGCCACATAAAATCAGAAATAGATGATACGAAAAGAAGGGAAATTTACGCGGAATGTACATTGAGTAATTGCATCTGGGCGCCCAGTGAACCTGGCGAAGACTGAGCAGTTCAAGAAAGGAGCTTAGCGTATCGATGCGCCGTGTGTACTTCAACGTTCAAACGTTCAACGTTGTTCAACTTTGATGCGCCTTGTGTTGACCTTGTGTTTACCGACTTGCAAATATGAGTCTACGTGAGGTTAACATGTCAATCTAATATCTATCAGAAGGACGATCGATGTCGATGAACGTTGAACTTCCGAAAACAAATTTTGAGACCTCGTGTATAACAAAGGAAGGGAAGGGAATACGGCCGTCGGTGGGTCGAGATGTTGGAAATCACGAGTTTTAGTAGGTTAAAAATAGAAACGTTCAGAGGAGCTAATAAACATGATTCAATTTAACTGCGTGCCTCTGGAGGTGATACGTACTATGTCAGTATGGATGAGGTTGTCGGGGATGTATGATCAGCTTGACGGTGTAGTTGTATCCCTTTTTTGTCAGAATTGAGTAGATTGTGAATCACGAGGACTTCGTCGTGGGTGAACGTTTGAACTGTGAGTTCGTTTTGGGGACCGGGGTCGTTCGTCAAATCGTCATCATTGTCGATAGCAACAGTTGAAAAGCCAGGGCTGATTCCGTCTTGAGCTATTGCATTTCACCCAGAAGGCAATGGCCTAAAACTTTTTTTTAAACAGTCTCTTGGATTTCGTTAGCACCAGTGGGTGCGATGACAGAGCTTGCAGCTTAAATTGAGGGCCGTATTAAATCGATCACAGAGGTTTAGATCGACTTGCACTCATATACAAAGAGGGCCAAACGGGTCGATGACTATCAATAATATGGCCCGAGCCATAAATAAAATGAATGACCGAAAAATACAGATGCACCCACCATAAAAGTCAAAGGGCAGTAGCAACGAAGGGAAGCAGATTCTCCGGAATAGGAGGGTGATGCTCAAAAAGTAAATCCTTTGAAGGATAAACACCCCGAGAAGGCCCATCCGCCGGATTAGATTTCGTCCAAACCCAATCAACCGCCAACCGAATACTATACGCGTCGCAAAGACCCAAAATCACATCCAAAACGCGCTTGATTTCTGGTTTCTTTGAAGTCCTCTTAATAAACGCTCGAACGACAACCTCGTTGTCGGACCAAACTTTGAGAACAGAAGCGTGATGACCGGCTGAGATCATGGCCCGGATGCCCAATTCGACGGCGACCATTTCTGCCCAGTGTATATCCCGACTCTTCGACCGCCATCCGTCCTTCAGCTTCCAGGCGAGCCACTGGCGGCCAAATATAAATCCGATTCCAGAATGCGAAGCGTCCACGAATATCTCGGGAATCGGAGGTGTGCCTGGTGCAATGTGAGCTATCAGAAACTTAAGATGTTGAAGTTCATCGGAATCCTCTTCCGCCGCGGTCTGCAGAAGTGGCGTCTCCATTTTTGAGTCTGAGAGAAGACTGTTTGTCGAACTCGGCGATGACATTGACGACAACGAGTCAGCCTCGGAATCGGAAGTGTCCGATTGGGGCTCTGGAATCGACGAATACACGAGAGCAGCGTCAACTGGAAAGTCCCTGACATGGTTTATGTCCCGTTCATCATCCTCCTCCTCCGTTTCCGCGCCTCTCACTACGCCCTCCTCCTCCTGCACGACAGCAGAGATAGTCGGATCAAGCCCGCTGTTACTGTGAAGGGGCGCAGAGTCCGTCCAAGAATATATTAAATCCTGAAGATCCAGGGCATCGAGACTCCCTGAATCAGATGATTCAGAACTGGACATCTCTTCGAACGTGGCCTGGATAGAGAAGAGAAGGTCCCTCAATTCTGCCAGCTCCTCTTTCAGAACCTGAATTTCTTCCTCTCTTTGGACAGATAGGGCAAGCGCCTCGTCGCGCTGCTCAGAATAACGATGAAAGTGTCTATCATCGCTTTGCTTCTGGATGCGTCGGCCTTCCTCTATTCCCTCGAGGTAGCGCATCGTGGCCAAACTATCACGGGTTTTAACCGCACTATGAAAACTATAATCCTCGGGAGCCCGACTGGCCGCGAGGAAATGCGACATGTATTTGCGGCATGTTTTGCACCCGTAAGGATGCACGACCCCAAAAGCCGAATTGGCTTCCCAGGAGGGAAGCGGAAGATGGTAAATGGTATGTTCAGACCCGTGGAAATCGTCCGACATGTCGTCGCTGACAGTAAAAACTGGGGAAGGGGACAATAATATAATAGATAGCCGATTTGAACAGCAATAGCGAATAGAAGCTTGAAGAACTGTGACGAGATAGCCTGAGGGAACTCATATAGATATTTGTGGAGCGCGGTAGTTTCTACCTTTGAGCAATCCCGGTCACTGCATGCCTTCAAGGCATGTCGGTCGTTCCGGAACAACGTGGCTGTTCTGAAAGATGCGCATTGAGTTCGTGGGCGTGATCTTCGTGTGATACACAACCTCAGCGTGCGATGACACTCACAGGCCTGCAACACATGCAGGCAACATGCCAGTCTGTGGGACTCTGTGTGCGTTAAAGGTTACGCAAACGTAAACACAACGTAAACGCATTTGACTGAGTGGACGAGAACGCACAAAGTAAAATTGAAGAAGGTCCTATGGGCTGCCAAGCAAGTTACATTTGGTGTTTCTCGCAGACTCTGTTAGGCAAAGGCCCGGGGGAGCTACTTATGACTCAGCCGAGTCCGACGCCACAAATCATGTAATTGAGTGGACTGTGCACGCGCAGATCGAAGACCATCTTCACGGGTTACTAATGCAACGAAAGAGGGAGTGGGCTGAAACGCGTAAGTAGCTGGCGTGAGGTGGGTTTGAGGGAGCCTTTGAAAATAACAACAGTAAACTGTTGTTAACGACGGTTCCAGAAGAACCAATGCCCAACACAACTTTTTTTGCTACAGATCTCATGTCGTTACATATTTGATACTTTCAAAATCTTCCCATTCCGATACTCCTGTAACAAAACTGACTTAATCGAGAATTGGACACCATAAGCTTTGTCAAATTCACGTAGTGTTACAAATTACAGACATCACCAGGAGACGTAATTGAGAACTGGGGGGGAGGGGGTAGGATGGTGGAAAGATTCTGCAGAGTACGGACCGTACGGAGGGGGCGACGGGGAAGGGATCAAGAGGGGTCCGAGACAGGTAGCAACAGGGAGTTCGAGACACATATCAACGAGAGCGCATACACACATCATGGGAAAAATACAAGTACAGCCTGAAAGGGTGAAAGAACACATATACACTACCTTTGATTCCGACATGCGGCTACAACTGATCGAGAAGAGCGGGCAGCACTTCGACTAGGCCCAGTTATGTTAGTCATCATGGCCCAATAGTGATGGGCCACCCGGCCCTGACAAACAACCATGTGGTAAGGGCCCAGCCGGCCCGGCCGGTTTGATGGTGGGGCCCCAATATGGAAGGGGCGGCCAGACCCTGTACAATCACCCAGTAACCATGGGCTGGCCATCAGCAACAATGCCCCATATGATTGGAGTAGCCGGGTGTACCTTGACTGCCATATCCTCCTGCGGAGCTGCCCTCCGCCGGGGCTGAATATTGCACCGGCGGTCATGATCATAATGAACACTTAGAATTACAAGCCTGGCTCATACAAATCATGCATAATATTGTCAATCTATGTATGTTGTTTGCTATGATTTGATTGGAGCTACTAAGCACTGCACATTGCCTCCAAAAGAAATGATAACATTTTTATAATGTTCTGTCAGGAGAGGCTTCATGCATTTCCTTTGCCAAAAGTGTTTAGTTCAACCAGTGAGGCAAATGTTTCACCACTGGTGATGTAATTTTTTTATGATACTCCACCGGACCACTCCACCAGTGACATGAAATTTCTGTAAGACACTCCACTGGACTAAACCACACATTGCCTCTGCATAAATGACAAATACTGGATTGATCTGTCAGAAGAGGCTCCACACATTCAATCTGCAAAGGTATTTAAGACCTGGGCGGAGTAATGCAATATTTCTTAAAGACAACCCCAGCAGAGCAATGCAATATTTTATAATGACTCTGGTGGAGCAATGCAATATTTTTTTTAACAACTCCGGCGGAGCAATGCAATATTTTTTGACAATGCCGGCGGAGCAATGCAATATTTTTTGACAACACCGGCGGAGCAATGCAATATTTTTTTTAACAACTCCGGCGGAGCAATGCAATATTTTTTGACAACACCGGCGGAGCAATGCAATATTTTTTTTTAACAACTCCGGCGGAGCAATGCAATATTTTTTGACAATGCCGGCGGAGCAATGCAATATTTTTTTTAACAACTCCGGCGGAGCAATGCAATATTTTTTTGACAACGCCGGCGGAGCAATGCAATATTTTTAATGACAATGCCGGCGGAGCAATGCAATATTTTTAATGACAACTCCGGCAGAGCAATGTATATTAAAGGGAACTAATGAAAATGATAACCAAGTGTTTCAATCAATGAGGAGAGTATCTGCTAGTAGCATAAAAGAAAAATGAAATGCCTTCTTTTTAATAGCTCTGCTGGAGGTCTAGAGCAATATATATATATATCATGAAGCTCCATCGAAGAAGTGCTGTTTTTTAAAAAAGACTCTGGCAGAGAAGTGCAAAATG